TTATTATTATCATATTATTATTATTATCATTTTATTTCAATTATTAAACTGTTTTTATCTCAACCCACAAGTTTTTCTCACTTGTGCTTCCCAAACTCTCTCCCCCATCCCACCAGGTGGGGGGAGTGAGTGAGCGGCTGCGTGGTGCTTAGTTGCCGACTGAGGTTAAACCACGACACTTCAGTATTTCTTACAACACATTATAAACCTCAAAATCCGAATCTCAGCCTTCCAGATGCTCTGCTTAGAGATGTTGTTCCCCTATGAACATGTATTACTCTCACTGATTGGATAATATTCAAAATAACAAGTAAATCAAAAGCAAAATTATTCTTTAGTGAGGACAAAATAAAAAGAGAAAGAACAAGGTGTAGGTAAAATAAACTGCTCACCATTAAAAGGTATTCCACCGCTCTGTCAGGATTGTTGAAGCTGGCCCTCAGCGCCGCGATTACTTGCTCTCGTTCATAGCCCATTGACATGATCTCAGTCACCATATTCTCATAGGACTGACCTGTCACTAGAAGTAACATGACCACCATTTTAAGGGAATAAGGCAAAAAAAGCACAAAAAAGTTTCAATGGATAAATTTCCTTTCTACCCAAATTTGAGTCGTTCATTGAAGAGTACAGAATAGCTCATATTAAACTTGTCATGGTTCTGTTGCTTTAACTCCAAATATATTCTGGTGGTTTCATTATGCATTTGATTGAAATAGTAGAGGGTAACGAACACAACGCAAACTTCTATCGAATAAAGCAGCACTTGTGATACTTCTATACTCATAATTGAAATGATATTCCCTCTCTATGCTTTCATCTAAGGTCAAGGGCATCCTCACAGCTAATATTAAATTCCTGATGTAATCAAGAAGTCTCCTGCAGTGTAAGTTTGGAAATGAAACTTCCCAGGCAGAAATCTGCCTGTCAAACTGTTAGCCATTGAGGTTTTTCCAAATAAAGACTTTAGGCTATGCTATGGTTAGATAGATGACAAATAGTGATGACCAAGTTACAACTGTGTATTGCTACATGCTGGTGATGATGATCAAAGTCATTTAATCAACTTAACATGGACCAACTCAAGTCAGGCAGAAGACTTAAAGTTTTATCTATGAAAGTCACTCAAGACCTCAATGAGGGTTCAGGAGAACAAGTTATCTCATTCAATTCATGTATATTTGACTAGACATCCATCAGATCAAATCCCCCACCTCTTACAGCGTATATGGACTAAAACTGGCCCGCACCTGCAGCCATCAAGACAAAAGGGTACACATGCTATATGTGGAGCAATTTAAGGAAAACTGATCACTACACTAATGGTATCATAGGGAAAATTATTCTCTCTTTTCATAACCCATTTTATTTCCCATCCTTAAAAGCAGGTGGCAGGTTTAACAATTCAAAAGAATAACTATTCTATTATAAATTGTACTTGAGCAACATCTTAAAGGCTATCTTCCCATGCAAAACCAGAAAAAAAAACACAGCCAAACCTCGACATTAAAATACCATCTCCTTCCTTGGATAAAGGTATTACTGATCTCAGTGGAACCCTACTATTGACTCTGTAACACTAGCAAGCTAGTGGCAGGAGAGTTAAATAATTAAGTCACCATAAAAAACAACAGATTAAAAAAAGTAGAGGAAACAAATACTGCTAGAGCTACTCTGTTAAGACAATTAAGTCACAATTAAAAGAAACAAAGAAAATAACAAGTTTTATTCCCTTAGGGAGAAGGATTTTAACTCAAGCCAACATTAACACAACCAGGTTGCTTGATTTTTAAAGAATGCTTCCAAATAATCAGTGGATGTACGACTGAGGGCAATATACTCAAGAACAAATAATGAAACAGCTCTAGCCCAAGGATACTTGTGCATTATCCATAAAGATAAATAATGGATTTACAACCCTTGACTAATTTGAGTATTTATTGTTCAGACTTCAAAATAATAGTGCCAACCTGAGTTTAAGGAATGGTAAGTTCATGTCTTCATATACAACTACAAGTTCAATCTTTTTACATCTACCTTCATTTTTTCAAAGACATAAAAAAAAAGAATCACCTAAACGTCACTCTAAAGATACATATTTCTGTACATATCTTCAGAGAAGCAAAAAAGCCAAGCCAACAATTGTCCCAACACAGTGATTTTGCTAAACTTACTGCTCATGTTCTTTCCTACACAGCACTAGTTTACCCTTGCTATTGTTAACAAACTAATCAAGGTAAACAGCAGACAGAACACCTTTTGATCTAATTAGTTACTACTAAAACATTTCTGTAGTGCTCTTTCAATATAAGCTAGGTAGAGACTAGAACAGTATGAGAGATTTGGTACAGAAAAAAAAGATGCCAGAAGGTCGACTGGCTCTGGACTGGCTGCTACATAAGCCACAATTAAAAGCCAAAGAAGGAAACAGAACTACTGCGACTTTAGGCACATGTACTCCATATACAGTCTACTTACAAACAAGTCATGTAAAAGGAAGACCAAGAATAGTAATTCAGGAATTGCACACCAGCAGTGTCATGATATGGAGTCAGGCCTATCTCTACATAGTGCTACTGGGAATATTTGTGAGGTCAGTGCTGAACTGATTCTGTGCTTTCCTTTTGTCTTTCAAATAACATTTTAAAGCTGGATTAACTTTCAAAACCAGTTCAACACACTCCCCACAATAATTCTTGTCCCATGCCCGAAAGAAAGCTTAGGCTGCTCCAATGAAAGATATGGTTGCACAGGAACTGCAAGACGTGCAGACTTCGTGTAGCACACAAAGCCAGATCGGCTTTCAGTCAGCGTATCTAACTGAAAACAAAAACAATTCAGTAGAAACCAATCCCTGCTTTTAAAGTAAAGTCAATTATCTTCAGACAATGTAATTGAGAAGCCACAGTAAGAAGATGCCTAGGATCCTGCTTAGGATGTAAAAACATACTACATGAATTTGTGCAAGCAAATTCCTTTTAAGACAGCTTCTAAAGAAAAAGAACCACAGAGTTCATGCCTATTCCCTTTGAAAATTTTTTGGCATCTAAGCCTTGCAGTGTGCTTACCCAGGAAATTAGACTCAATGCCTGTTATTTCCAAACAGTTAGGGGCACGTGGATTTACTGTATCAGATACCAATCAAAGAACTTTCATATAAAATGGATAGTGAGGTGACACTCTCCTGCTACATTGAAAAATTAATTTTTTTTCAATTCTAAAGATAACTGAATCAAGACCACCAGCTTAATTAAACTTGTTGGTCATTATTGTTAACATCAGTATTTGTGATGACCACATCTTGGCCACTAAGGTATAATGAATGGTTAATGAAACCTGCAGCACTTCTGGTAGCAGCAGTCACGTTAGAAATTTAACAGAACTCGACTGGTTGTCTCCTACAGTATCTATCAGCTATTTCAGCTCATACATTTCTTCAGCCTAGAACCGTATGTCATAATGTAAGACCTAAGCTGCAGTTAGACAGACTAAGCCTGGTGGCTACCACCAATACACGTAAAACATTACTACTGCTCCTAAATCACCTTGGGTTGTTTAATCACAACACCTGCCTCCAACATATCCATATACCCCTACACAAAAATGTAAGTGAAACTCTTTAATTGGTTTAAATTTTTGTACCAAGTTGCAGCTTAATGTTTACAGAGATAAGACAAAATAAAAAACCCACCTCCCCCTTATTTCTGTGCCTTAATTTACTACACTCTAAAAAAAAAAATAAAAATCCCCTTCAAAAAATTTAAGTAGGAGTAAGGAGTTGTGGGTTTGCCTAGTAATTTCCTAGCTACCAGAATCAGCATAAATGAGGGGCAGAACTTCCTATTGTTTTTACCCTGTTTATTCCACTGAGAAACAAAGACATTTAAACTGTCAAAAGAAAAGTGAACTGACTGTAAGTATATGGAGGCATTCATTCCTCAAACCAGATAGCAGCAGATTTGGTGAATTTATCTAATCTAAATGCGTCAAAAGACAGTACTGTCAAAGCTGGAACAAATGAATAATAAAGGCAGCCATTTTATCAGACCTGCACACTGGGAAGCAAAGGTGAAAAGAAAAGCGTATACATATTTACATCCAGTCTTCTGTTCAAGCCACTTCAAACTGAATAGTTAGAAGACAAATTAAGGCAAACGGGGAAAAAAACAGGAATGATAAGGATCTTCCTTTTACACAATAAAAATATATGAAGTGAAATATTCTTCAGTAAAGAAGTTCTTGATCCTGGCACTAAGATACCAACTTCAGGTCTTAGAGAAGAGTACTTTGATTATAACTTTAACAATGACAGATACAGAAGAGAATGTCAACATCTGCTAATCTGTCATTTGTTTCTGCTGCACCGAAATAATGTCTACATTAAAAAAACACTCCACTTACCAAGTGCACTTATAGCATCCTCAAAAAGATTTGATCGAGATGTATCACCTGTTGTACTGTAAGATGAAGACAAGTGCAATGGTAATTACAAAACTTTGGAAAACTTCCTGTTTTTCAAAAAAAGCAGCAGCAGCTGTAACTCTAATAGCCCGTTTTGTTTCTAAAAAACCAACAAAGCTTTCTAAAGAGCTCTCTTTTGGTCTTATAGTGAGACCAGATTTTACAAACTTACAATGCTACCATTTTTAACGCAAGGCCAACCTTCCCCCCTACCCCCCAATAGTTTGGCTCTTGCCCATCTGCTCAGGGATTAGCCATCTGCTTGCTTGAATGCTTTCAAGGGTGGGAAAACAAGGTGGATTTTCAAAAGCACACAGCAGTCTCACTAACTGCTTCCCCATAAGTCACCGGTTTGACCTCAATGAGGACCCAAGGAGGTCAGTGGCAAGCACTTATTAAAATCTCAGTATCCTACTTTCCCAGGAATATAAACTGCTAACATTTGCAGTTACTCCATCTCAAGTTATCAAAGCTGTTAAATTACAGGATTAAAGGGTCACCTCCATGAACACCAAGGAACACAGAGGCACAACACCAGGCAGAGGAACCCCAGTTAACTCAGTCAGAGCCAAGAGTGCCCCTTTCCTGGTTCCTCCCAGGGCTGCAACTTAAAGCATCAGCCCCTTGGTCTCGGGGTGACACCCCTGATGGGTCAACAGGAGAGGCTCCCCAGGTCCCCTTACAGATCAAGGACATTACTGCCTACAGGGTGGTGCGACTCACCATGGGGTGCCAGGAAAAAGCGTTTGGGGATTGTGCAAGACTTATTATGGGATATCTAGGGGAAGAACCAAAGGCAGGGAAAGGGAAGCATCAAGGCACCCTGCAGATGAAAAGCATGGGTAAAGAGAGAGAAAAGAGGAGAAAAAGGGCCAGTCACAGGTAAACAGCACTTGCCTGGTCATGCCCTGCACCTAATCACCAGTCCACCCTGCCTTCTAATTAAATTCCCTTTCTAACTATTTTTCATGCTGGGGGTTCTCTCTAGTCTACATGCATGTGTGTGTATGGAAGTCTTAAGTGCCCACAACTGGACAGCGAACCATGAGTCACAGGGATCCACACGTCTGTGGAGCCAGCAACTGCAGAGACCATACACTGTGGAAGTCTCAGTGCCAGCAACTGGAGAAGGGGCCACAGGGGTCCATGTGCCTGGGGTGTTGGCAACTGAAGAGATTAGAGTGTATGCATATTCTGTGTGGATGCATACGCTGGCATGTGTGTAATCACCAGCAAGCATCAAGCTTGACTACAGCGAGAAGGGTAAGATGCTTGGGAGCCAGATATTGAATGGCTGTAAGTCAGAGGCAGCTGCTGGAGAGACCGGAGGGTCTGAGAGAGGAGCTGCTGGAGAAACTGTAATGCCTGGGGGTCAGCTACTGGTAAGGTCATAGGCCTCAACCAGCTAGTGGAGAGACCTGTTCGTGTGTCCATGAATGAGGCAACTGGGAGACCAGGGGACCTAGAGACTAGCTACCAGGTTCAGTGCATCTCTACAGCCAGTTCCTAGATGGATCCTCTGTGTGTGCACGCGTGCATATGCGTGCAAAGAGAATCTAAGTATCAGCAACTGGAGCAGGGTTGCAGGGCTCAGGCAGTCACATGCCCAGGTACCAAAAACTTGGGAGACGGGGAGATCTAGGGGCCAGCTATCGGAATAAGACTGTCTAAGGCCAGCTTAGACTTTGTATGTTTGTACATACGTATTTTGCACTAGTGGGCTTTGCCCTGAGTAGCCAGAGGGGAACAGGATGCGACTGCTGGTGTTGTATGGTTGCATGAGTGCTGTTTTTCTCCTGCCTGTGTTGACCTATGCAGCCAGCCATATATATAGGTATATACATATTGTGTGTATGTACTGGAAATACATGTTCAATCTGGATACTTGATAGACCTGGGGACATGGAGCTGCAGCAGCCTCGCATCTATCAGGCTACCAGAGTCGGCAACTCCTATCAGCAAGTGAAAGATCATCAGATTAATCTGAATCAGTTTTCAGAAGGTGCCACTAAAAAAATCTAACAAGGCATTTACAGAGATGCATTTTTTAATGCAAGAAAAAATCTGTTGCAACAAGAATGCTTCACTAGTATTTATCACTAGTAAGATTTACAACTAAAAAAGATCAAAGGCGAAACAGGACACCAGCTTGCCTGGCCATGTCTCAATAAATCTTCACCAGCCTTAGTAATTTAACTTCTAAAGCAAATGAGAAACAAGCAGTACTCACTGAAATCAAGGCAGGTGGTAACTGCAATGTATTTGTTAAATTGTTTTCTTGCTTCCTGTTAAGTATGTACACTGAGGCTCGCTTACTGCAGTTTTACAACACTGCAATCTGTACATGGAAAACCTGGAAAGCACTGTCTCAGTATCAAAGATTAGACTAAATCTTTGAATCTAATGGACAAACTGAGCAGCAAAAAACCCCACCCATTAACATTTAAAAAATTCTAAGTTATTTGACTGATAAATGAAGCTTCATTTGTATTCCATTTTAAAAAGAGGTCCATTTCTCAGAATCGCAAAATTAAATCATCAGTTAGGGTATTTAGTGCACGAAATTTGTGATGACATTTTCAAGATATTAGCCAATTGCAAGTTTTGTTTCCTTACCATCAAATCAATATTTGATGGTGTCTAAGTACAACCACTTCAAAAGTTAATGTCTTGTGCGCCAGTATTCACATAAATAACACACAAATAATTGAAAACCAGTGTATGAAAAATGAAGACTTGATGCTACGCAGCACTTCAAGGGTCATTAAATTACAGTTAACAACATTTTTGTCCCATGCAATACTTAAGCAACTTAAAGTGAGCAAAAAAAGGCGACAGTATACAAAGGGATGAAACCTCTAACTTCCATTTGATTTTCCTAAATGTAGAGAATTGAGATTAAAAGCTATCCCAACTCCCACAACTATCTGCAGATGGGCCAAGGAGCATTCAGAACAAATAAGCTTGTAGCTTTAAGACATTACATGATTAAGAGCAATACTATATCCTACATTTTGGAAGAAAAAGTTCTTTCCAGAAATTAAGAGACTCTTAGAGCAATAAAGAACTTACGGTTAAAATCTAACCAACATGATTCAAAACACAATTAGAGGTCTATGAACAGGACAGGACACATCGCTCTGAAGTCTTTAAGAGCTTTGTCAACAGTAGATCCCCACGCAGGTGAATATCCTCAGTCTGAAAAGAAACTTGTGCCACAGTAACTCTGAAATGCCTAACGAGAGCACAAGTCCTGTGTCATTTAACTCTCCACTGCACAAGGTTTAGTCCCAAGACCACACTTCCCACAGGAGAAGGTTTAAGTGGGGAGGGGCACTTCTTACCATCAGTAATGTTATACTTGAGCCAGAGACTGAAGTTACAGTTAAGAAAGAAGAAAAATTACGTAGAAAAGAGAAAAAGATTGGACTAACACTGTAATGGAAAATTCAACTTAAAATCAAAACTAGAAGCAACAGAAATGGAGAGGGAAGCCATTTTTGGAGGTTTATTCATACCTGTCAGTTGATGATGGGCTGACAGCAGCTGGTGCCTCAGGTGGTTTTTCTGCTGGCTTCTCTTCTTTAGGAGCACTCACAGGTGCAGATTCACAAGCAACTGCATCTGCTGCTGGTGGTGGAGGGACAGGAGCTGGCACAGGGGCGGCAGCAGGGATTGGTGCAGTGACTGGTGGGGGAGCTGCAGTTGTCGAGCTAATAGTAGTAGTAGCATTTGACTGCTGAGTTGCTCCAGCTGCTGCTTTGGGCTATAGGAGAACAACAGAATTCAGGCATAGCACAAAGCTCCTAAACCCATGCTTTCTATAGTCAACACATTAAGTTCTGTGTTTGACATTGCTGCCTTGACATCGAGCATAACATTAAAATATTGCAAGACATTAAATCTATAGTGCCTTTTATTGTGTTTAAGCAGGCAACTGATAGTGTCAATAAAGTACTTACTTAGACACCTAAGCAGCCACACTATTTGAGTATGAAGTGAAATGCAAAGATAAGATCTAAATATTTATAGACCACAATACTCTAAACGTGACAACAATCTTGTGTTTTACAAAAGTGCATTTTTCAGAAGAAACTAAAACAGTTGTCAAAAGACAGCTGACAAGCATAACAAGCATAAGGTTTTCTCACCACTCAAATTTGGAAAAAAGTGATACAGACAGAAATCACATTTCATTATGAATGCTATTTTCTGGAAAATGAGACGCTAAAAAATTTAAACTTAACCTGCAACAAGTTCTACTTATGTACTCTTTACATTCAAAGCACTACATAAATAACTTTTCACATACTTGAGTTCTGTAGTGAGCACCAAAAATCCAGCAGAATCAAGGACTACCGAATCTACAGCAACAAATTTAGAGTGGGTAACACTTGCCTATTATTGTGATTTAATCTTCACATCTCTATTGGAAACATCAATTTTGCTTGGACGCAGTATTAATCCCATTATATAGGAATTACACTGTTCAGAATGCATGTAACTTCCAGCTAAAGTACGGAATTACGTTTTTGAAAGCTGCATCACTGTAGTCCCTTACCTACAAATATCCTTAAGGATTGTCAAGGCTGACCACCATCTCTGCCTTACCAAGAGAAATAGCTGAACTTTAACAAAACACAACTACTTGTTGAAGGTGAATCACTTTCAGACAATGTTTGCTTAAACTAGGAAAAACATATTTCCTCCTTTTGTCTGAAAGGAAAGGAGAGGTTGAGAATGAATAGCTTCCAACATGATGGGCACAATAAAGAACATTTTAAAAAGCATTCAAAGAAAAACACTGAAACACGTCTGAGCATCAGACAAAGTTAGTGGTTGTGCTTAAGTGACAGGGCATGTCTTATCCAGAAAAGAATCAAGGAAAAGGAAACTGAGCTTCAAGACTTCTCAAAAAGACTGTAACACTGAAGAAATGCCCAACTCTGAAACATGGGTCCTTTAACATCAGAAGGTATTGCTTTTAGCAGTTCTTCACGGAGGTCTGTGTTTCTTCTGCTATAAACAAAATGAAAGCTGTACTCCGAAATCCTATCTGCACATGTTTTCTTGTACTAGTAAATGCCTCTTCTCCAGGCAAACCACTGACTAGAAAGCTGTTTGTTCAGGAAGACAGCAATAAGTTACATTCAAACAGAGAATCTAATGAGCTAATATCAGATAGAAGTGAAGGGCAACTGAATATAGGTTTTCTTTGTTACAAGGAGGACCTCTAACTCCAAAATGAACTTCGTATCTCAAGACAGAGATGAAGCCAGTTTTACTGAGATCCCAAGGGTCTGGAATGCCTAGAAAATCAGTGGCTTGATTCCTGGAAGCAATCTGGCGACTGGTTAAGAGGAGAGATACTTCAAATACATGTCACAGTCATTCCTTTTAATTTGCCATCGCAGTCATTCAAATCTCACAGGTTTGTTGATCGGCATATGTATCCTTTCTCTATTGGTTTAAGCTGTTGAGCTTGACAAAGGAAACAGCCATGAGTTTTGAAAAGCAACATGGCAAGACTGGAAGAGTTCTGTACAGAGGATTTAGTAACAAACTATCTAGGTTCCCTTCTTCATTTTAATAATATCACTGGAAAAATAACACAGGGAGACAAGAAAGAAGAAACAGTAAAATCAGCCACTGGCAAATTTTTTCTTTGATGTAAACATTCATCACAGAACACCACCAACAAACTAGGACTGTGAAGCAATATTTTGTATCTATTTGCACAAGCATTTATTTTTACTGTTGACCAAAACTTTCACATGATCAAATTCCACTGGTTTTAAGGACAGGCATATACAATCACTCATCACAATGAAAAAAAAGAATGAAATTAATCTAATTTCCTTTTCAAAAAAAGGACTACTCACTTTTGTCACCATAACCACCACAAAGTTCTTCTCATCTATTTTGTATTCTTTAAGAGCAGTATCATCATTAAGGATTTTACCTGGCAAATTGAACGGATACAAATTAAGAAGTTATTTAACAGATCATTACATGACCTTGGGATTCCCTCATATAAACACAGTTCCAAAAAAAAAAAAAACAAACCACAAAAACATGTTTTATGCAGATTTATAAACATTAATAACCCTACAATAAGTGTTCTGGCTATTAAGCTTTGGCAGTAGAGCTACAAGTAATTTTCCTCCTATGATGTCCGCATTACTAGTCACCTTGAAGGCTGTTGCCGTAAGTGTTGAAGATGCTTCAAATCATTTAAAACGGAAGCGTTAAATCTACAGAAAGGTTTATCGGACCTTTAACACAGATACAAGTAATGTAGAGGAAAGGCTTTAGCATACAATAAGTTTAACTGAGTAACTTATGCCTGCTTACACACCCTAGACACAGTAAGAAAATGCCTTCCTGCTTATCTTCTGTTTGCCCTTCAGATGTAGTAAACTATCTACAGTTCCCTGCCACAGACTAAGTTTATCTGCATTAGATAAGTTTGTGACTTTGCAACTTTAACAATTTGTTTTTAAAAGAAGGGTAAAGCATTAGAAAAAGCTAGAACCATTCCACACCCTGCCACCTTGACAGAAGGATGAAAAAAAAATTATCGGACAAAACCAGAAACATTTCTTTGTTATACTACCACTTTTGATGTTACATAAGCAGAGATGGTACTGTGGCAAAGTCAATTTGCCTCACATCTATAAGAACTCAGAAACACATTAAACCACCCAGACTTTTTTTTTTAGGATAAGCTGATTTAGAGGAAGTACCACAAATCAGAAAATTAAGTCTGTATTTCAGTGAGTTTTATAGCACCTACTTCTACTACAGAATTTTCAGGAAATATTTTACCATTTTAATTGATTCATTTTTCTGAAGATGTGCCAAGGACCGCTTCCTTATTTCAAGAAGAAAACACACATTTTCATTACCATTCTCAGTGCTAGCGGCATATACCACTTAACTGTAACTAGCAGGACACATCCTTATCCTGATGATTGCAGGGAAATCAAGCAATGCATGCACATTATGGCACTTGGAACACAAATGAGGTTGCACTGTCCTACTCTCTACTGGTTCTACCAGTCTTGCAGGTCAAGTACTCAAGAATGTATTATATGTACTGTGGTAGTAGCAATACCTTTAATAGCTGGTGCAGCATCTGACTCAGAACCTACACAGGTTTACTTACAATATTCTGGTTTACAGGTACTTTAGGGAAGGAGCTTGCACAATGTATATATGCAGACACCCTATCTTCTCAGGACACCACCACTCTCAGGGTTTCTAGACTTTACCCTAATACAGATTACAACACTACAGAGCCACCTCACCGTTGATTAGCATAACCTTTTTTTAAAAAAAATTTGCAAGCATTTTTAATAACAAATGGAATACTTTTAATCAGGTTCAGTTGGGATATCATTCTGCTTTACCAAACTATGAAAATCCTAAAGCTCATTTTAATCAAAGTAAAAATGTCATCAATACACCCTTGTTGTATCTCTTGTTGAAGAAAAAAATACAATCAATCTTTGGATGGCCTTCTATTCTAAATCTTATTTCCTACATTTCCTACTGCTTGTGAGGATTATACAATGCTGCAGATAAATTCTGGCTTCTGAAAATGCTCAAGTCACATCATATGATCTTACGCAACCCTTGATTTTTTTAATCACAGAAATATAATGCAATTATACATATTGCACAACGCCTTCTGCCTTGTTCATATTTCTTTATTATACATGCAACTTTCACCTTAATGTTCTTCATATGCATTCCCTTCACTGAAGTACAAGGGACATAAAACTTGCTAAGAAATATAGTCCAGTGGCTTTAGTTTATTAGAAGTGGAAAATCAATACTGTTTACAAAGCAGTATACTGACAAAGTAAAAAGACCACCAAAGTTTCTTTCAAGCATGATTTGAGAGGAAAAAGCACTAGAGTGCTTTTTCTAGAGTGCACTAGAGGCGGTATTGGAATAGAATTTTTTAAGTTCCGACATGAAGCGAGAACAAAAAACTGGATCTTTGTATTGATGCCACAATGGACCAGCCAGGTAGAAAACAGTAAAAAAATATTGCCAAAAAAATTTCAAAATATGTTAGCTCAAATAAAGTAACTTCATGTCTTTAGCTGACATTAGCCAGCTTTTTGCTAGCACATAATACATGTTTCTAATAACAGAACTTAAAAAGTACTGGAAGTACCTTTGTATAGCAAGGATTTGGTGGTGGGTTTCGTTTATACAAAAGAAATAATCTGATTTTTAATTCTCTGAGGTATATACAGGAACGCTTCAGCTATACACAGCATAAACTGAACAAAAGACAATAGTTAACCCAGAACATGAGATGTGATCTGCTGAAAGCCTGATTTCTTGTAACAAAAGCAATAAAACCAAAATTTCTACTTCACCTCACATACCTCACCCAGGACTAGCACTGTTAGCATATCATGCTGTAAGAGCAAAGATAACAAGACATACATGTATTAAAACCTAAAAAATTCTGATTCAAAATTAAGAGTTCCCTTTGACAATGAGGTTTGTTGTTGGTTTGGTTTTGTGTTTGGGTTTTTTTTTAACCTGTCTGCATTTCAGTACCTATAAACTTTAGAAGACTTAACATTCACATCAAAGTCAAAGAACAACATAAAAATAAAGTAGATTCAGATACAGTATCTTCAGAATATCCATTACCTGCATAAATTAGTTTTTGGCCAGCTACTGGAAAAGCATCTTTCCCCCTTTCTGATTCAATCTTCTCTTTCAGTGCCTTCACCTAAATCACAGAAACAGTATTAACAAAAAAAAAAAAGTTTCACAATACAAACCTAATTAAGTACATTTTGTTCTAAGTTTTAAATACTAAAAAGTAGTTTTTAGCCATATCTTGATTATGGCTCAAAGTACATCAGTCTTCCAAAGACGTCGTTGTAACCACTTGCAGAGCAAAGTGTTCCCTTCCCAAATAATCTCTAGTGCTTAATCAAATTAGGTAAGTAATTTCTCCATGAGAAGTCTTTAAGTACGAGTTTACAACACAGTTAAAACTTGAGAAATTTGGGCAAAAAATGCTTTTATCTACTGATCCATTTCCCCTCCCTGTTCCCCCCCTGAATGCAGGGGGTACACATGCTATACACAGCTGATGTGTGTATAGCTTTCTTCATCATAATGACTCTTCAGGCAATGCCTGGTTTTTTGGTAAGGTCACCCTGACATTCAATTTAACTCACTGGAATGACTTGAAGTCTTGATATGCAAAGACTCGTGCAAACTGTCCAGTTGTTAATTTTATATAGCAGTTTTCAACTCCTTCCCCTCCCCGATAATTTTTGGAGCTTTGCATAGCAATTTTAAGCTTACACTTGAAAGCGTTTTGCCTTATTTACTTTCTTACACAGACCACTGACATATAGTCCGCACTTTCAGAGCACCACATACAATAGTTCAAATGACGCTGTGTTAGTTGTCGTGTATCAGAATGCCTATATTCTCCAGAAAAACTGCATAACGCTCTCCTGAGGAGATAAAAGATGTTCCTGTAGAGGCACTTCTGTACTGATATATTGAAATCATGTTTTAAGACAAACTGCCAGTACACAAACATTCATTCTTCTTGCTTCCTGACAAACACTCTCCCAATATATGTAAAACAAAGACAACCAATGTTATGAACTTATCACTACAAACTAACTCCATCTTCTAAAGTTGTTTTTTTTTTCCCTGAATATTCAAAAGCTTTTTTCATGAAACACTGCAATTGAGATGCATATACGTCACTATTTAACCAGCTAAGCACGTGAAAATGTGTTTATCTCGACAGCTTAATCGGACTGGCAATTACTTGTGCCACAGGTAGCTGTAGTATTACCATTTTTTGTTAATTTTTAAAGCTGTAGCTCACTATTAGGGTTGCTTGAGTAGTAAATACACTGAAACGGTATTTTCAGGTGCTAAATGGTAAATACTTACTGAGAAGTTGAGCTTTGTGATTCTCAGCATAATTAAAATCTGTCATCTACTTCACATGCCAGTCATGCTTCCTGTCTTCACTTTATTCTCCTGTTAATGACGTCTTAGACCTTTGTGTTACCTTTCTCCTTTTCCTTCATTGGTCCCCTCACTTCTTCTGCCTCTTCCTCTCAGATTTTATTTCCATGTTTCTTTATCAATCTCTTTACCAGGCTAATCCTTTCAGTTTGGATGTTTGGTCCAAAAGGGACGAACCAAACTTTAACACTCACAATGGAGCTGCATCTTTTCAGCAGTATACATAAAAAGGCATGTTTGTTTCACCAGGCTTCATGACCCAGCAAAGGCGGCCTGCAGAATCAAACCTCTTCTCTAAGCTTACACCTGATGTAGGTGATTAAATCACTAGCCACACAAGGATACAGAACACAACATATGACTTCCCTCTATGGGATTACACCAAAATAGGAAGCCAACTCTTTTTTTCCTCAGCAGATGAAGGATGCTTTCGGTATTCTTATTATACATGCTATTCCAGCACCTGCCAAAAGCTTTAGAATCAGTCTCCAGCCAGCCAGTTGCTTTTCCACAGCAAAACTAACTGCAGCCCACTGCCATCCATAAGCCTTCAAGGCAGGGTCAAACCATTACTCATTTTAATAATAATTTGCTGATAGCATCATCGTTCTCATGTACTGACTTTATAAAAGTCTGCTCAATCCCTGGATTTACATTTATTTTAAAAGAGTATTTCCTTGAAAACTAAAAATCTAATTTGTTATTTCCTCCCCAATTATTATTTAAGGCTGGAAGTCACTCACCTTAAAAATGAACAGTCTCCTTAGGCCACAGATAAGCCATCAAGCAGTTTTTCTTGAACTTTAAAGTATTAGATACTTCGGACAACTCCAGTTAAGTGTCCTGCACCCACTAGGGCAAATTAACCCCCTCAATCATGTTAAAAGCCTGTTATGTTTTCAAATGCCTACTTTTTAACACACTGCTTAGCTATTCATATATTTATGCACTTGTACTAATCACTCAAAGACGAGGTGTCAAAGCTTCTTTTTTCATTCACAGTCACCATATTTGTCACAGATTTGTAACAAATATTGTAATGTGATCAGCAGGTACAATCTATTTTGAGGGAGAAAATTAAGGCTTGTTTCATGTTCACTGCACTCAATCAAGCTACTGGTTTCAAATGTCTACTTTGACTTCCTCATGTTTTAGTGTTTGAGTTTTATTCCAGACTATAGTCTTTTTCCTACAAGGAACAAAACCAAAATCTGTTCTCTCAAATAAAAATGTCTGAACAGCTAAATATGGTAGTTTAGGTCAGGACACACTAAACACACGTTAATTACTACCCAATAATTGGATCTATGTGAAGGAGTTAAGATATTTACTGTAGTAAAATACTGACAGTAAAATTCCAACGATCCATTTGCCTTTGCTGCCCACCTCATGTGCAGTGCTTCCCCATACTACGATGTGATTGATGTACTGCAAGTGACCTGGGGCACTGCCCTCTTCCAAAACCTTCTGTATAAGTCTGCGACAAATGACAGGGCTATGCTTCCATTCCTTTGGGAAGTGGCACTCCTCTCCAGACATAGGCAAACGGCAGTTTACACTACGGGGCCAAGGGAATTGAGAAAAAATGTGTTAGTTACATCGATGGCTGAACAACAAGCAGTATTCATAGAATCATTGAATAGTCTGGGTTGGAAGGGACCTTCAAAAGTCACCTAGTCCAACCCCCCTGCAATGAGCAGGGACATCTTCAACTAGATCACGTTGCTCAGAGCCCCGTCCAACCTGACCTTGAATGTTTCCAGGGATGGGGCACCCACCACCTCTCTGGGCAACCTGTGCCAGTGTTTCACCACCCTCAGCGTAAAAAATTTCTTCCTTACATCTACCCTCTTTCAGTTTAAAACTATCACCCCTTGTCCTATCGCTACAGGTCATACTATAAAGTCTGTCCCCATCTTTCTCATAAGCCCCCTTTAAGTACCGAAAGGCTGCCATAAGGTCTCCCCAGAGACTTCTCTTCTCCAGGCTGAACGACCCCAACTCTCTCAGCCTGTCCTCATGGGGGAGGTGTTCCAGCCCTCTGATCATTTTTGTGGCCCTCCTCTGGACCTGCTCCAACAGGTCCGTGTCTTTCCTGTACTGAGGGCTCCAGAGCTGGACATAGTACCCCAGGTGGGGTCTCACCAAAGCAGAGCAGACGGGCAGAATCACCTCCCTCACCTGCTGGCCACGCTTCTTTTGATGCAGCCCAGGATACGATTGGCCTTCTGGGCTGCAAGCACACATTGCTGGCTCATGTCCAGCTTTTCACCCACCAGTACCACCAAGTCCCTCTCCACAGGGCTGCTCTCAATCCCTTCATCCCCCAGCCGGTATTGATACCGGGGGTTGCTCCGACTCGGGTGCAGGACCTTGCACTTGGCCTTGTTGAACCTCATGAGGTTCACATTGGCCCACTTCTTGAGCTTGTCCAGGTCCCTCTGGATGGCATCCCACCCCTCAGGTGTGTCAACCACACCACTTAGCTTGGTGTCGTCTGCAAACTTGCTGAGGGTGCACTTGATCCCACAGTCTGTGTCATTGATGAAGATATTAAACAGTACTGGTCCTAATACAGACCCCTGCAGGACACCACTTGTCACGTATCTCCATCTGGACATTGAGCCATTGACCACTACCCTCTGGATGTGACCATCTAACCAATTCCCCATCCACCAAACAGTTCCACCCATCAAATCTATATCGCTCCAGTTTAGAGAGAAGGATGTTGTGGGGGACCATGTCAAAGGCCTTACAGACATCCACACAGATGACATCCATAGCTCTTCCTTTGTCTACTGATGTAGTCACTCTACCATAGAAGGCCACTAGGTTGGTCAAACAGGACTTGCCCTTGGTGAAGCCATGCTGGCTGTCTCGAATCACCTCCCTGACCTCCATGTGCCTTAGCATGGCTCCCAGGAGGATCTGTTCCACTACCTTCCCAGGCACGGAGGTGAGGCTGACAGGTCGGTAGTTCCCAGAGTCCTCCTTTCTACCCTTTTGAAAAGTGGGTGCAATGTTTCCCTTTCTCCAGTTACCGGGAACTTCACCTGACTGCCATGACTTTTCAAATATCATGGAGAGTGGCTTGGCAACTACATCAGCCAGTTCCCTCAGGACTCTGGGATGCATCTCATCAGGTCCCATAGACTTATGTTCATGTTCCTCAGGTGGTCACAAACCTGATCTGCTCTTACAGTGGGAGGGACTTTGCTTCCCCAGTCCCCATCTTGTGGTCCATCCACTTGAGAGGTGTGAGAAGAGAGACTGCCAGTGAAGACTGAGGCAAAAAAAGTTGTTGAGTACCTCAGTCTTCTCCTCATCTGTTGTAACCAGTTTGCCAGTCATGTTCATCGAGGAGGTACACTTTCTTTGACCTTCCTTTTCTGGCTGACATACCTGTAGAAGCCCTTCTTATGACTCTTTGCATCCCTTGCCAAGTTCGGCTCCAGCTGTGCCTTGGCCTTCCTGACCCCATCCCTACACAACCAGGCAGTGTCCCTATACTCTTCCCAGGATACCTGTCCCTGCTTCCACTGCCTGTGCATTTCCTTCTTGCCCTTTAGTTTGACCAGCAGGTCTCCACTCATCCATTTTGGTCTCTCGCCTTCCTTGCCTGATTTCTTACACTTGGGGATTGAGAGCTCTTGTGGTCTATGGAAAGCGTCCTTAGAGATCTGCCAGCTCCATTCTGCTCCCTTGTCCCTGAAGGCAGTTTCCCTGGGGGTCCTATTGACTAACTCCTTGAACAGCTGGGATTTTGCTTTCCTAAAATTCAGGGTCCTGACTTTACTCTTTGCCTGACCTGTATCCCTCAGGACTGCAAACTCCACCAGTGCATGATCACTGCAGCCCAGACTGCCTCCAATCTTGACGTCACCCATTAGCTCACTTGCATCGGTGACCATCAGGTCCAGGATCGCATCCCCTCTGTTAGGGCTGTCTATTACCTTGCTTAAGTTTTCCAGTGGATACCAGGGTGGTTGAAGTGCCCCAGCAGGATGAGAGCCTGCGAGCACGATGCCTCCTGTAGCTGGAGTAAGAAGGCTTTGTCAATAGGCTCCCCTTGATCAGGCGGCTTGTAGTAAACACCAACTACAAGGTTCCCTTTGTTGCTTCAGCCTCTAATTCTTACCTATAAACTTTCAACCTGCTCGCGGCTATTCTTCAGAGACAGCTCTTCACATCTATCCATTTCTTGATGTAGAGGGCAACCCCCTCCGCCCCTCCTTCCTCGCTTGACCCTTCTGAACAGCCTGTAGCAATCAATAGCTGCACTCCAGTCATGGGATTCATCCCACCTAGTTTCAGTAATGGCAACTAGGTCATAGCTTTCTAGCAGCATGGTGACTTCCAACTCTTCCTGTTTGTTCCCCATGCTGCGTGCATTGGTGTAAAGGCACTTCAGTTGTGCTGTCAGCCATGTCATTTTCTTAGAGGAACACACCTTAATCCCTTTGAGGTATTTCACCAGTGTTTCCCTGTTGGCTGCGATTACCTCAGGGGTGCCTGGCTCATCTCCATAAGGCTTCAGGTGTACTGCAGTGTACCCAGCACATCTCAGAGCAACAAGCTGAGGGCCCTCACTAGCACCCCATCCCTCTAACCTTGGCGTGTCGTCCCACAGCTTGTCACAAGTAAGCCTGATATTATCCCCCTTCAAGTCTAGTTTAAAGCTCTGTCAATGAGCCCCACTAGCTCATGAGCAAAAACCCTCTTCCCCCTTTGAGAAACGTCAATCCCATCTGACGCCAGCAAGTACCGTGGTCTTGTACGCTGGTACCGTGTTGACCATCCCATTATTGAAAAACCTGAAATTGTCACAGTGACACCAGCCACAGAGCCATATATTAATAGGCTGGGTCCATCTGTTTCTTCCCATGTCGCTACCTGCAACTGGAAGGACAGAGGAAAAAGTTACCTGTGCTCCAGATTCCCTTACCAACCATCCCAAGGCCCTGAAGTCTCTTTTGATTACCCCTGGACTACGCATTGCAGCTTCATCACCACCCACACGGAAGAGCAATAACGGGTAATAGTCCAAGGGCTGTACCAGGCCAGGAAGTTTCCTAGTGATGTCCTTAACCCAGGCCCCCAGGGAGGCAGCAGAGTTCCCTAAGAAGAGTGTTTGTCCGGTATATTGGACGCTCTGTTCCCCTCAGAAGGGAGTCACCTGCAACTATAACCCATCTTTTCTTCCTTGTGGAGGTGGTCGTGATACAGAGCGTAGGCCTTTCTGACCTTGGCAACACCTCTAGTGTAGATGGACCATCATCCACATCATCCATTGACTGACCTTCCACATCCAGAGCCTCATACCTGTTGTACAGAGGCACCTGGGAATGTGAGGTGGGCAAGGAGGGGGCTTGCCTGCCACCCCAAGCATGGACTTGCCTCCATTCACTCCTTTCCTTTAAGCTATTGCCTTCTGCCTGGTGGGGGGAGGATACAGGATCCCCTTGATCTTGTTTTTTTTTCTAGTGGCTGTTCCTGTTTCTGTCTCAGGGAGGGCAGAGCATGGTTCCACCTGTCTCTCTCTTTCTCAGACTCCCTGATGCTCCTTAACCTTTCTACTTCCTCTCATAGCTCTGCGACCAGGCTGAGCAGATCATCCACTTGGTCACACCTCACACAGCTGTTCTCACTACTGCCATCCATAACCAGTGAAAGGCTCTGGCACAACCTGCAGCCTGAGACCTGGATGGCTGCATGTTTTCATGGGAGCTCTGTCTGTGCTGCCACACCCATTCTAGCAAGTGCAGAAGACACAGCTTTCTGCTGGGTGGATACCACAGCTAAACTAAACTCTTTCTGAGAGGATGATGACCATCTTGAGCTGGTAGGGTGACGATGCCCTTCCTGCACACCCTGCCACCTGCTCTCTAGGCTGCTTTTTAGAGGTGTGGGGGTGGCCGCCGTTGCTCTGGCAATGCCCAGGCCTTGTCAGCATCTCCCACAAGAGCTGCCAGCTCCTGGTGGGTCTCTCCACTGCCCTGGCATTTCCCTGCCTCAGGAAACCCCCCTGCATGCCAAGATCTGTCGCTCCACTGTGCATCAGGCCGGATCTGGAGCTGCTTCCCTCAGCTTCAAGTTTATACTGTAGTTCTGGCACATCTGGTACTACCACACTGGATGGTGGTGTTACCTATTCAAACCTCAATAGTATACAGTTAATCTCTGATCCCTACTGGGTTTTCCAACAAATCAGACAGTTCTTGAAGGTTGAATGAATTCATGCAACCACCCCTTAACTTTCCATTTTTTTTTATATGATGGGGCAAAGCGAATATGTATTTTGATATGTATGGGGCAAAGCGAATCTCTGTTAGTCCAGTATTGTAATAGGTGCTCCATCTGAGTTGCAGCCAGCACTAATCAAAGTGATACCTGTAGTTCTACCACTAATGCTCTAAGAGATCAGGCAGTTGACGTATCAAAGGGGTATCATTACTCATTTC